GTAAGGAAAGTATATGAGAGTTCCGGCGAAATCGAATAGGAAGCCATTTGAGCTTATTACGGAATTCAGTGACATGATCATATTTGCGAAGACCAAATATGAATCTGATGGAAAGATTTTGAAGTCGCTCAAGCTTGTCCAATTGTTCCTGTGACAGATCAAGATAACTGACATCAGCATAGTCTAGAATAGGCAGAAGAAGAGATTGAGCAAGTGTAATTTTGGTGGCATAGGGCAAGAAATTACGGAACCGTCTGAGGGAACCCGCCGAAGCAAATAACTTGTGACTGACCATCTCCAACTGCTTTGTCCAAGAGAGAGAACTGTCCAAGAAGATCCCCAGGTTCTTAACTTCTCGGGAGAAAGGAATATTTGTATTTAAGAAAGAAACCTGAGGAAGATTTGTCCATTCAATTTTGGAAACAGTACGCGCACTACCGATGACAGTCGCTTGCGTTTTGGATGGATTAATTAGCAGTCCAAACTTAGCGCTCCATTCGCTTATACAAGTTATATCCCGATTAACCAGAGCAATAGCTTTCGGTAGATGCTCGAGCGAGGCTTGGGTGTAGATTTGGAGATCATCGGCATAAAGTATCATGCATAAAAAGGAAATTTGGGCCCACATAGTCCGCGTATGGTATCACGTGAGGTTCTAAGCACTTACGAATGTACCTTTCAGCATTTAATAATGGCAGCCGTGGTCCTGTAACAAACTCAAGTTGAGTTTTGCCGCTCGCGGATATACCGCCCCAGACAGTCCATGAGCCAACGCCATAAGCAACCCTTTCTTAAAAGCAGCATTGTGCGAAACGCTCTTCCTTACGTCGGTAGGCCTTCTTCCTTCCATCATTGCCATGTAACACAATTTTAGATTCATCAGAAAAGAGTACACGGCGCGAATCTTGCTGTGTCCAATTTAACTCGTCGAGTACCGGTTTTGTAGACACAATTATAGAACAATAGGTTGCGGTCACCGGTGACCGCTTGGTGTTTGACAGTTTAAATGATTGCGTGCGTAATGAAGGCGCGGTTCGGTGGGCTCGCGTTATTTTTGTGCCATTAGCTGGCTTGTGTGGTACCATATCGCGTTCTTTTAACCTTCTCGGAACAGTTCGAGCGCTCACAGATACTCTGTGGAAGTCGCGAAGTTGGTTTTGTATCTCAATGGAGGTAAGGTGATGATTTCTCAAGCTGGTCGTCACGATGAATGGATCCTGCCTTTAAGTTGTGACCCGAGATCGTACCGACCTGAGAGCAACCGACAAAGCCGCCAGTAGGTACAGTCAAACTTTTAAGTCGAGTGCCACCGTAATGACTACTATCGTTTGCGCTGCAACGCAACACATATATTTATCCGTGTGAGTGATGTTCACACGGCTATGCGTAAGTAATGTCATATTAATGTGCATAAAAACATTCGTCCATCACGCACACATTGGTATTTAATATTACCTATCTTAGTGACGGTATACGTAAAAAATGATGTAAAAAAATGAGGGTAGAGGTAAAAATAATATGTAACAAACATTGAATAAATCGAATAATGAACGATCGACCTACATACTATATAACCATACCAATAAATCTATACTAATATTAGGTATAAAGAGGAAAGATTTGTACCTATTTTTATATGTTTGTAATGAATAGGCTTAAAAAGTACTGGGCCGATTTAAAAAATTCTTTCACTAATAGAATGCTACATTCTTCCAATTTGACATACACTACATTTCATTTTGAAAAAAAAAATTATCTACCCCGTACGAAGCCGGGACGGGCTGCTAGTACAATATATAGTTATACAGTTTTCAATGACATCAAATATTTCGAAACGCTTTGTAGTTGCTAGGCGCAATGGTATCGCATGAGATTTACGATGACAGGTCGCAGGTTCGATTGCAGCATTGAATTCGTTGTTTTAGTTTTTATCAAAAAAAAAATTAACATTATTTAATGCAAAATTTCTAATTTTTCAATAGCTAAGATAAATAAATTATTATGTTTTCGGCTTACTCACGTAATGATTTGACGAGGAACTCGACTAGTTTCAAGCCATGCTAGAGGCTCATATTCATGAGCAGCATTACGCGACCCGCGACGCGGCGACTGTCGCGCTGCTACTGGCTACTCGATACAAATATAGCTAAGATGAAGTTTACAATGTTCGAGGTAACCACGGAACTTTCAAGTTATTTTATTTGATCCGTTTTTTTTATTTTTTTTTTTTAAGGGGGGAAAATCATCGAATTTCTGGGTGAAGCGGGAGGCAGTGTCAGACTCTTACTGACTAAAAACCACCCCGTTCCTTCTCCTGCACGTCGAGTCGGAGCCCCGGTTACCCGTTAGGTTCTCCGCGACTCCGGATCGGCATCGGCCGTATTGAGCCCCATCTGTGGTGGTCTGATGGCTCTTTGAGGCGTGCGCGGAACGCGACGCGCCGTACGCTCGGGTCTGTTTCTGGTCGGACGGGGAGCCACCCATGCTCGCCGTCCGCAGGCCCGCGCTTACGGTGGCCGGAGATCGTCCCGCGATCCCCGACGCCCGGTGTGTCCTTCGCGATGGCTGGGTTGCGAGGAGGCAGCGCTTCGCTGCCTCACGCGTCCCGCCTCCTCCTTAGCTAGCATGACTGCTTCGCAAAAGGAGGAGACGGCATCCCAATCCCCCTCGCTCCGCATCATGGCCTGCACTAGGCCCGGACGCGAGAGGTCGCCATCGCCGATCACTTCCCTGAGGACACGGCGGTGCTCAGCCCACGAAGGGCATTCTCCCACCGTGTGTTCCACCGTGTCCTCAGGGCGGTCCTCGCAGTGATGACACCCGGGCGTTTCCTCCCGCCCCATCAGACACAGGTACCTCCCGAAACTTCCATGTCCGGTGAGGACCTGCGTCAGGCGGTAGGTGAGGACGCCGTAGCGTCTCTCAAGCCACTCCTCAAAGAGGGGACTTACCGCTACAATGGCAGCGAGCCCAGCCCTCGGCGCTGTAGGAGTGTAGGGGAGTGCTGAGAGAGTGACAGACTGCACACAGCTGTAACTACTGCGCGTAGCAAGCTGTGTGACATGTAGTGCGCTGTAGGAGTGTAAGGGAGTGCTGAGAGAGTGACAGACTGTACACAGCTGTAACTACTGCGCGTAGCAAGCTGTGTGACATGTAGTGCGCTGTTACATTTTCATCGCATTTCAATCATTTTCGTCATCACGGATACTTTAAAAAAATCGAGTAATTTGGAATACGAGTGCCGTCGTGCCAGCAACGCGGCACAAGCGGCATGCAAAATCAATAATGTTTACGGAGCTAACACTAGACCAATTCAAATTTGTTGTTGATTTGCTCGCTTCCATTCTGAAAATTTTGACCTGATAAATGAACCTGTCTGTCGTCTGAAGACTGGCCGACAGTGTGTTTTCTATTGTGTCTTATATACTGCCAGATAAGCAGTTAAAGGCTGAATTTGTAGCAGCTTTCGACGTTAGCGTCAAAATAATATTGGTCCATTTGCGTCAAATTGGCAAGGTAAAACTTCTTAACAAATGGGTGCCCCAAGAAATCAATGATAGCCAGCGCGAAGTACGCGTCGAGACGTGTCTTGCACTGCTCAACAGATACACAAATGATGCAATTTTGAACCGTTTTGTTACCTGCGATGAAAAACGTATTCTGTTGACTAGTAATTTTTCAAGAATTTGGATAACTTTTTGGCGGGAAAAATTCAATTCCCGAGAGGTAGTACAAAATGCGTTTGAAGAATTTGTGGCCTCCCATCCAATCGATTTCTTTAAGAAGGGCATCAGTAAACTGCCACTGCGTTGGCAAAGATGCATTGATTGCATGGATGATTACTTCCATTAAGGAATACAAATAATAAATACGGTACATGAAAAAATCGTTTAAATGTTTCATACTAAACAACAATTTCATAGGTAAAGACTACAGATATATTAAAAAAGGAGAAGTGGCAAGGGGGCGTGTCGGTTACGCTCGAAATTGAGCGCTCCGCTCAATGTACGAAAATATGGCCGTCACCGCGAGTTAGTCTGTTGTCACCCGCGTTCGTACAACAAACGATAAAATGCCGCCTTGTGCAGTGGTTTCGTGCAGAAATATAAGTCAAAACAAAAACTGTAGAAGTCATGGCATCGGTTGCCATTGTAGGAACAAATATTTACAATATTTATCTTAAAAATTACGAAAAACAACAAGTTGTTACTTTATTTTTATTTTTCTATATTACTCCGGACTGTATTATGTCTACATTAATACATTGCTCTTTTACAACCACCCTAGTGTGACACTGAGTAACTAAACCAGCAATGTAAATGTAACCTAACGAAACGCTCATCAAGACTCGATGTCACATGATGCGTCCACTGCTCAGGTCCGCCGTCGTGAGCGAGATAGTGATGTGGTCGTGGAGATTTATCAAAGTCTATCGACAAGAAAGTCGACTACAAATAGTTATATTTGTTCACTTATAATGGTTATAGTATTTTACTTTAATTTTTATAAATGAACCATTATCGGTTGATTTCGCTCCTAACACACAGTGACAAATTGTTTTAGTGTGAGTAAATAATAGGAGAATGTGCGCTGTCGTTTAAAGAATAAGGCTTATATTTGAATTACTGAGTTATCGATGCCGCGTGTTTGCACTTATTCGTAATATGGTTTTGTCAGAACTGTGTGTGTAATATTAGCTTTATGGAGGGGCAGTTGTGGCTTTACAGGTTTGCGTACATTTTTGACTCCACACCATATCTCCTTCTTTAATATATCTGTGGTAAAGACCTAATATAATACTATTTAAATGTAAAAGTACTGAATATAAACAGTATAAACTCAACTAAATGAATTACATATTGAAAAGAAACAAGAATATGTCTAATTGTATTGTCAGTGACTGTATGTATTATACAATGTTATCACAGGCATAGAATATAAGAGATTGATGTTATTCAAATAAAATAAGATATAACAACACTTATACTTTTTTTCACCAGACTGGTGGTATAGGAAGTCTGCAAGCTCAAAATGGATCATACATACCAAGGCAACCCCATTTTCCACAACCAACATCACAACAAATATATGGGCAGCAGCAGGTAATATCAACTTCATAAATTTTTTCTTGCTATATTTTAGTTCCTAACTAAATGATTAGATTGGGTTGAATCACATTTTAACATGTATGCTATTTCAACCTTGTCAGAAATTTAATTTTTAATTTTAAGAATACAATTCTGAATAACTTATCACTCCACAAATTACCGATCCTAGAGATGGACACTATGGCCTTTAAATAGGATATTTGGCAGCATTTTAAAAACCCGTTTCACATTATTTATTAATGACATCGAATGAAAATCACTTATATTATAAATATGAGTTATTTTCAAATCTCACAAGAATTGGTTGTCATAAATCTAATTAAACATTGATAATTTGATTAACCTACGTAAACGGTTTTCCATGCAAGATGGCACCATTTTATCATTCTGCGGTTTAAGTCTAGTAATAATTGGTTTTATATAAATAACACCGTTAAAACAGTTTTCGACAAAAATACCAAACCTATAGCAAGAGGCTCTAGACGGACATATACCAGATACAGACCAAATTAAAAGTACCCTTAACCAACGAGCATGCATGAAAAGATCGATGACTGTTTATATTAAACCTTTCGTGAGACATACAATAGGGAACATGAATATTTTTAGTAGCGTTTTTATTTTAAAGAATTTCATTTAAAAAGAACTCATAAACATATTAAAAAATTAAAACAATCTAATTTATCGTAAAAAAAATGCGGTTTTAGACTTTTGATTCGATTTTTGATAGAACTCCGGAGATTCTAAATATTTCAGTTAGTTGTCAAGAAATCCTCCTAACATTTGTTCCCGCTCTGATTACAGATTTGTAAAGAATGCTTCAACCTCTTTGGATATCTTAATGGAAATATCATGACAATAAAAAAAATTTTTTTCTTCGTAAACTCACTTGTCACAAAACGACAGATGACATATAAATCTATATATAAGGATAAACATAAAATATGTTTGCCCATCTTTTACGGCCAAACGAAGCAAGGAATTGATGTGGTTTTTAAAGTGGAGGTAGTTGAAAGAATGGATGGATAAAAAAGTAACGTAAAAAATAAACTTTTATTTCTTTTTAACCACCCATTTTCCCAAAATGGGGGTGGAAGTTTGTGTCTAAAAATTGATATGCGGACTATTTTTTAATCGTGCAATGTCGTGCATATATATATTTTTTTGTAAACTTTCCCCCAACCCCATAAAAGAGCGCGAGCGAAACCGTAGGCAGAAAGCTAGTCCATGAATAAAATGATGATTCATGCATACCGTAGTAATTTAATCCCTTTCATTTTAACACTAGAAAACTCTGGACTCTCGACAAAAAAGTTAATACCGTATCGACACTAATTCTTGATAAATTCCTACAGTTTCCTCCTTTGATAAACATAACTTCGATTTTTATTAGAAACGTAATTATTTGAATACGAAAGTATATGTTACCTCAATCAAGTTGACGTGACAAAAGTGACGTCGCTAAACGCTGATGGTGTTTTTGAATTGCGTTTCGTTTTACGTAATTTTAATTCGTAATTATTCTTAAAAATCAACATAATATAAAATAAAAACGTTAAAGCTCTACTTTTATATCTTTTTACCATTTTAATCTTCGATCAACAATAACAACTAGATATCGGGTCGGCGCAAGAAAATCGTCTCGACAAATAAGAGTGACGCGACGCGGAGACTGCCGCGCGATAAACTCGATGAACCCGATAAAATCGAATAGTTTCAAGCCATACTAGAGGCTCATATGATGAGCAGCATTCCGCGACCTGCGATGTGGCGACTGTCGCGCTGCTACTTCATAATAATTAATTTAGTAGGTGTGTCTCACGAAAGTTTTAATATATAAAGAGAAATTGTAAACACTAGTGTGATTATTTGTTGCCTCGTTGGCCGAGTGGTCGCAAGTGCGACAGGGGCAAGGGGTCTCGGGTTCGATTCCCGGGTTGGGCAAAGTACTACTGGGTTTTTAAATCAATTCTCAGTGGTAGCACGGATTGCCATATGCAATAGCTTACCCCCTAATACATGGGACTCATAACATAACTAGTGAAAAGTGGGTGTTACATTGTGCAGTGGCATTAAGTGCTGTAATGTGAGCCTCTGCCTGCCTACCCCTTTGGGGATAAAAGGCGTGATATTGTTGTTGTTGATTATTTATTTACGTGTTGTTTTATTGTTCTCAGTAATATTTTGTTCTGTTGATTAACCAGTTTTCTAATAGTTTCTTTGTCTTTTCCAGAACTATCCAAATTACACGCAGATGCATCCACCAGCTGGATCTAGAATTAGTCAGCATCCTACTTATCATCAGCAAATGGATGTAAATCCTCATCAGTATGGGATACCACATGGTCAACAAAGCCATGGACCAATTCCGCCGCATCAATCTCATCAGAGTATGGGAGGCCACTCTGGTGGCATGACACCAGGAATTCAAAATCACCCAAATGTGCACCTTCATCATCCGGGGGCTCCGCCGCTACATCATGTACCTCGTCAGTCACCAGTTCCACCGTCTTCTGTAGCGCCTTCTCATTCTTCCGTGCCGACACAAATGCCTTACGCGTCGCCTCATCACTCAATGACTTATCAATCTCATCAGATACAGCATCCTTTAGATGTAAATGTTTCAAATCAGTATGGTAATGTGAAACCTGCAGGTATTGAAACTGGAAGCCCACAATATCGCCCACCGTTCCCTCAGCTATCTCCTCAAATGTCACCTAGATCTCAAATTTCACCCCGGCAGCAATCTCAATCCCAATTGTCTCCTCGGCCTGTTATGTCGCCTGTAAAAGGTCCTAGTGCATCACCACATGGTGCTCGCAATATGGTTCCTTCGCCGGTATCTACAGGTACGCCATCTACACCTGGATCTTCCTTCCCTTCACAAAATACTCTCCAAGCATTAGAGCAAATGGTGTTACCATCTGGAACTGATTACCCTTACCAACGTAATCCATCATCTCCAGCAGTTACACACGTTGTTTCTTCACCATCACAGTGGAATCCAAGCAAAATTCCTCCTACGAGTAGTTTAGCGCAAATGGATAATAACGAACAGTCTACCAAGTCGTCTGAACCTGCAACTTTAACACCAGCGCTAAAATCTGATTTGAGCAAAAATGTACCACTAGGTAATACAAATACCGAATTGAAATCTATTGAGAAACAAGAAGCGGAAAGTGCCCGGCTAGGCGAAACCATTCCTGCGTCTCGAACTTTTCTACCTCCATCTAATGCAGGTGGCACTATTAAAGAAAATGTTCCTGTTGTTGCTTCAACAAGTAATAGTACATTAACTACCTGTAACAATTCGTCGGTCGCTGGAGAAACTACAGAAATTATAGAAAAACATCTACCTCATACAGATGGTAAAATAGATGCTACTGCATCTACTGCATCTAGAGAAGATGAAAATATGGATACAAATTTAGAAAAAGTATATAACAACGACCAAAAATTGGAGTCTAAGCCGAAAATGGTGGAAACTTCCAATACATCAGAAATTAAAGCTTCACCTCACTCGACGGCTCTGCCTCTGCCGGCTATGACAAATACAAATTCGACTGTTAGTGATATTTCACAAATGCGAATGTCTCAACCAGTGCAATTAGCATCTATGACTAACACTAACACTGCTAGTCAGTATGAGAATATGAATGTTAGTAGGAATTCAGGATTTCCAACAAATAACATTCAAAATGTTTCAGCAAATATCCCTAATGCGACACAAGGACTATCAACAAATATAACAACCAGCATTCAGTCTTCTACTCATACCAGTGCTACACATAACGTTTCTTCTTCTTTTCAAAACGTTCCTACCACTGTCACGCAAGCAGTACCTAATGCTCAAATGAATTTACCAGCAATGCCACATGCTAACACTGTCACTTCCAGTGTACCAGTTCATAACCAGCAAAGTAATTTAACATTGATCCCTTCACTGCCAGGAAATATTCCACCAAATATTTCTAATGTACCCAGTAACATGCCCCCAATCGGACAGTCCAATGTGCAAACTAATATTCCTAATGTTCCTGTAGGATTACCTATGAACGTTTCAAATATGCATGCACCACCAATACAACCAAATCAACCTCCAATTATGTCAAATATGCCTCACAATATTAATCAAAATATGTTGATGATGGGCCCAAATTCAATTCCCCACCCTAATATTCCCAACATTTATCCAGCAACTCATCAACAAGAGCGAATATCATTACAACAACAAATACAAGATATTTACTGTTTGCCACCATCTAATGAAAATCAAGAGAAAGTGAGATGCCTTCAAGAACGACTAGCTTTAATTCAACAGCACGAATCCACCGAAAAATGTAATGGGGGACCAAATTGTACGTTACAAAACCCTGTATATGGATCAAAAATGGTAGAAAGTCCTCAAGTAACAAGTACCACAGGTCGTGGTCGTGGCAAAGGGCCAGCCAAGCCCAGAAAACCTAGGGCAAAGAAAGAGAAGTTTGTGGCCACAGTACAACCGTTGGATCAGTTACCTGTATCTGAGGATTGTGTAACGGCTGGAACTGGTTTACAAAATACTTCAGAACTTGACTTAGAGTTGAATGAAGATATAACTAACCTAGACAGCAGCGCTATTTCAATCGATGAACTAAATGGTGGTAAAGTGAGAAAGCAAAGAGGTCCTAGGAAAAATAAGGAACGAAAACCACGAACACCTAAAGAACCTAAAGTTAAAGACTTAGGCGATAAACCTGTAAAGGAACGAAAAAAACGAGAACCAAAAGATCCAAATGCTCCTAAAAAGAAAAGGAATTTGAAAAAAGATGCTATGGAGATACAGGCAGACACGACCACCAATTATGAGATACTAGAAACTGACAAAGATAATGGAAATGAAACCCTGAGTCATACAAATATTGAAACTCCCAATGTATCAAAAAATATTTCTGAACTCTCATTAGACGAGTCGAATGTTACTGATTTTGATGATATCCCTGTATCCAAAATAGCTATTAAAGACTTGTTAGAAGAAGCTGAAGCTAAGCGAGAGCAAGATGATGATATGGATTCAATAACACAGAAAAGGAAGTCGAAAAAACGGGCATCAGCTGGTGGAAGTTGCAAAAAGTTGACCCTTAGGAGATCTTTAGGTGGAAGAAGAAAGAAACGTGGTGGTCTTATTCCTGATTCGGATGGTGAACCAGATGACATGATGTCCACTCCTCCTCCGTCTCCACCACCAGAAGGTGACGACAGTTTAAAAAGAAGGTCTGCTAGAAATACACAGCGTAAAAAATATACTGATGATGTCATGTTACGATTATCTGATGATGAATTTACTATGGCCGCTCCTAAGCTCGAGAAAGAATGTAAGTCTGAAGATATAGATACCAAAGATATTAGCAGATCTGAGGGTGTACCTAAACCTAACTATATTTATGTGAATACTACTGAAGAAGATGCAATGATAGTTCAACACGTTTTAGCATGTCGCATGGGGAAACGAGAATTTAAAGTAGAACCATCGACAAGTGAAAGCATACAAAAATTAGAACCTGGTAATGAACCAAGTGCTAAAGATCCTAACGATGAAACCCAAGCAACTGTTTCTGGTCTAGATACTAAAGATGATCATGTTAAACCTACGACAAGCCATGATATCCAAAAAGAAATTGAAGAAAATATTGGCGAACAACAAATGTCCTCGCAAGAAGGTGCCTCTAAAGTGGAAGTGAATGTGGATGTCAATAAAGATAACCAAGAAGTTAAAAATGTAAAGCCGGTTATGGTGGATGTCGAAGAATATTTTGTGAAATATAGAAACTTTTCATATTTACATTGTGAATGGAAGACTGAAGAAGAACTGTACAAGGGCGATAAAAGAATATTTTCAAAAATTAAAAGATTTAAGCAAAAACAAGCACAACAGATGAATATTTTTGAACTGTTGGATGAAGAACCTTTTAATCCTGATTATGTTGAAGTAGAAAGAATTTTAGATATGTCAGAAAATCAAGACCCTGCAAATAATACAGTTGTAAAACATTATTTAGTAAAATGGAAAAGTCTGCAATATGAAGATAGTACATGGGAGTTGGAAGAAGACATTGATGTTGATAAAATAAGACAGTTTAAGGTCTTTAGTGAAATACCGACAAAAGACAAGTGGAAATTCAAGAAGCGACCATCTGCGGATCAATGGGTCCAGTTAAAGGAATCTCCTTTGTACAAAGGTGGAAACACATTAAGGCCTTATCAACTGGAAGGTCTTAACTGGCTATTATTCTCTTGGCATAATAATCGCAATTGCATATTAGCTGATGAAATGGGCTTAGGAAAAACGATACAAAGTTTAACATTTGTAAATTCAGTCTGGGAGTATGGTATTAGAGGACCTTTTCTTATCATCGCACCTCTATCTACTATACCAAATTGGCAAAGAGAATTTGAAGGTTGGACTGAAATGAATGTTGTTGTGTATCATGGTTCACAACAGAGTAAGAGTATGCTGCAAGAATATGAATTTTACTATAAAAATGAACAAGGAGAGCCAATTAAAGAAATAACTAAATTTAATGTGCTCATAACAACATTTGAAATTATTGTTACCGACTTTCAAGAATTAAAATCATTTAACTGGAGAATATGCGTAATCGATGAAGCTCATAGACTGAAAAATCGCAATTGTAAGTTATTAGAAGGCCTGCGACAGCTACACTTAGAACATAGGGTCTTGTTATCTGGTACTCCCCTGCAGAACAATGTAAATGAATTGTTTTCCCTGTTGAATTTCCTTGAACCTTCGCAATTTTCTAGTAGCGATGCATTCTTAAATGAATTTGGCCAACTTAAGACAGAATCTGAAGTATTGAAGTTGCAGGCTCTACTAAAACCTATGATGTTAAGAAGGTTGAAAGAAGATGTGGAAAAAACATTGGCTCCCAAAGAAGAAACGATAATCGAAGTGGAGTTAACAAACATACAGAAAAAATATTATAGAGCAATACTTGAGAGAAATTTCAGTTTTCTGCAAAAGGGTACAGCGTCGGCTGCGAATATTCCCAATTTAATGAATACCATGATGGAACTGAGAAAATGTTGCATACATCCTTATTTATTAAATGGAGCAGAAGACCAAATACAATTTGATTACAAACAAGCCAATGGAGAAGATAAACAAGCATATTACAAGGCACTAATTGATTCATCTGGTAAAATGGTACTGGTTGATAAATTACTGCCTAAATTAAAAGCTGGTGGTCATAGAGTTTTGATATTTAGTCAAATGGTTAGATGCTTGGACATTTTGGAAGATTATCTTGTATTTAGAAAATATCCGTACGAAAGAATTGATGGAAGAATAAGAGGGAATTTAAGACAAGAAGCTATTGATAGATTTTCTAAACCAGATTCAGATAGGTTTGTGTTTTTACTTTGCACAAAAGCGGGTGGCTTGGGAATTAATTTGACAGCTGCCGATACGGTTATAATTTATGATAGTGATTGGAATCCACAGAATGATTTACAAGCACAAGCTAGATGCCATCGTATTGGTCAACAAAAAATGGTTAAAATATATAGACTGATATGTCGTAATAGTTATGAAAGAGAAATGTTCGATAAAGCATCTTTAAAGCTTGGTTTAGATAAAGCAATATTGCAAAGTATGAATACAACCCAAGGAAAAGAAGCTGGTGTTAAACAATTGTCAAAAAAAGAAATTGAGGACTTACTTAAAAAGGGTGCTTATGGAGCTGTAATGGATGAAGACAATGCTGGTGACAAATTTTGTGAAGAAGATATTGAAATGATATTAGCTCGTAGAACCCAAGTTATTCAAATGGAATCAGAAAAGGGATCAACATTTTCTAAAGCCAGTTTTGCTGCAGCAGATCAAAGATCGGATATTGACATAAGAGATCCTGATTTTTGGAATAAATGGGCCAAAAAAGCAGAAATTGATACCACAGAGAAAAAGGAAGATGAAGATTTGATAGTTACAGAACCAAGAAAACGAACAGTTATTAAAAGGTATGGGCATGACGATGGTCCTATGGAAATGTCTGATATGGAAGTTACACCTGATTCTGATGAGGATGAAGAAGGTAAAAAAATTATTATTCTATTTACTTTCATCATTAATGATATAATTTGAATGTAGTTTTTGATAAAAAAAATCTTTAGTATCGCTGTGAAAAAAAAATCTTTATTATAAGTAGGTATATTGTCATAATAACAAATTCAATCAATTTGTAATTGTGTTTCAGGAATAAGCTTAAGAAGTAAAAGAAAGAAAGAAAAGCTTGGCAAAAAGGGTCGCAGATATGCTAGTGATGATTACATTCCAAGACATGAAGGTGTTCCTGTGGATGAGGAGGTTGTATATGGATCATGGACAAGATCAGAATGCTTTAAAATTGAAAGAGGTCTACTAACTTTTGGGTAAGTTTTTTGTATTCAATACCTTATGTTAAAATATTTTTAATCGGTTTTATATAGACTTAATATTTTTTAAGAAATGGTGTACGCCCTCATTCTTAATAGCTGCGAGCGTCGACTACCCAGCGGAGTCAAGTGTTACAACATGAAAAATTCGCCAAAAATAATTTTACTATTATGTGTTCATTTACCGCGTAATTAGTATCTATTCTTATGATTAATTATGTTAAACTAAAAAAGGATTTGTCAGGTCTGCGCGTCTTTTCAACTTTCACCGCAAAGAAATGTAATAAGAGAGCAAATGTGTTTTTATCGTGTTGTAGAAGGCATAAAGCGGTATTTTGCTTTATCCATATTTTGGTCCATCCACGTACAGCGCTGTTCCGCGTAGTGAGCGTTTAGCGTCGAACGCGACATACATCTGGAATTAGTGCGAGACTCCCACGTCGTCATCATCACCATCTTTTATTATTCAATAGCTTGTGCATAATGGTATTAAAATTACCTGTTCAGGAAATAGGCTTAATTTTCTCAAACATACTTTTTTATTTTAGATGGGCGAGGTGGGAAGAAATAGTAGAGAAAAATCAATTCCGAAAGGGATGGTCTATTCCTGTTATTGAAGATTGCGCGCGCATAATAGTAAGTGACTAGTCTTTATTTAAACTGAACAAAAATAAAAACTATATAAAAAGACTGGGGCCTCCTAGCACAGGTCTATCTTAAGGATGTCTCAAAGTGAGATTTACTGTTAAATGTTTTACAAGTTCATGCATATTTTTTTTTATTTAAAATATAGTAGTTTTTAACTTATTTATTGTTTTTAAATGATGATTAGCCATGCTAATACCGAGAAAGTTTAAGACTTTCACTGAGTTTAAATCTATTTCTGAATAATTTACACAATTGATGTGAATATAAAGGAATCTAAATATTATTGTAATGTATCATAATAAAATGTCGTTTCTTTAACAGGTTTTGTATTGTTTACGACATTACAAAGGTGATGAGAAAATTAGGAATTTCATATGGGATCTAATTGAACCTTGTGAAAATGGAGAAGTAACAATCTCTCGGAATCACAGTGGGTTGCACAACCCAGTACCCCGTGGAAGAAACGCAAAAAAGAAAAATAGACCAAAGGATTTGCCTAAATCTAATGACCTCCAAAAATGGGAGGATTCCAATCATTGGAGTTCAACTGAAAAATATGACTGTGAATTATATCTAGAAAACAGCTACAAAAAGCATTTGTTTAGACATGCTAATAAGTAAGTATATCTATATTTATGTATTAAATAAAAAAAAGACCCAATTCAAGTGCTTTCTAATAAAGATGCCATTGCGTGTATGGTTTAACAAGAGAAGCAATATTTCTTTTTAACTTACGACAATATTCTTTCAGGGTATTGCTACGAGTACGCATGATGTATTACATCAAGCATGAAGTTATTGGAGACTATGCCACCCAAATTGAGAGTGGAGTTCATGCCAGGTAAAACTATGACAATTATTAAGTTACCTACTTTTATTTATTTTGATACTTTCTTTGACATTCGTCAGGTGCAAACGAAGTACAATACAGGGTTTATAGCGTTCTTGTCGAAGTATACGTCAGATTAGTAATATGTAGCGCTTTTATACTTATTGAATCTTACCATTTTTCATCTTTCTTAGAGTATAGTGTTTTTATGAAACTACATTTTGCTAAATGACTGCTAAATTTAACCTTGCTTTTTTCTGATGTAGTTCCTTAGGTATGCGGGTACCTCGGGGTGTGGATAGTACACCTCCACGGCTATGGTGGGACAGTGAATGTGACGTTTCCTTACTTGTGGGAACATACGTCCATGGTTACGAAAATTATTTGGCAATGCGATCCGATCCACAGCTTTGCTTTGTGGACAAACTAGGTCCACCTGATGATGCTGAATGTACAGATATTAAGTAAGTATCATTAATATTTTAACTATAATTATTCCACTGAAGTGTTGTAGTGTTACCTCTTTCTGCCCTAATGCTTTATTATGTTATGCTAACATAATAACCATATCAGCTTTTCTCCACACTGTATTTAGTTATTACTTTAAAATAATTTAAAAATACAACCATGACAGATATCTCTCTAGTGATGCATCACAGATGATACTAAATACAACCCAAGTAAATTGTGTGAAAAATCTTAACTGTAACTGGAAGGGGATAGTTTACCTATTTTTATAGACCATTTTGAACAATAAGTCATATCTATCCCAAATATCAGTAAAAAAATTTTAAATATGTCATTTGGGATATAATGTGGCCTAAACTTTTTGACCAAAGGGTCAGTAACCCGATATAAGAAAGACAAGGTAAAGAATGCCATCTGGTATTATGCCTGCACATGTATTTTTATGTCTATTACATTAGAAATAGTTTATACAGGGTTACAGGTTAAGTCGACTCAAATCCTTTAAGAGGTGTTAGTATGCATAATTTCTGACCGATTTCACTAAGGAACCCCTTATCCCAAACTTAACCATTCTCAAGATGAAGCCTTTGAATTACTTTTATAAAAATTCCAGTATTTGGCAATTGCCCTTTTTTTATTTTGTGTCTCAATTTTGTACTGTTTCATGCTATTTTTGTGTAGAAGATTAGTTGCTTTATTATTTAATAAATTGATATGTTGGTAAATATTTAAATATTTGATAAATGGACAATGGACAAAATTGTGTTGGATTTAATTAATTCGTGCAATAGGAGTGAAGAGAGGAAGGTGAGGGGCAGTGTGGTAGGAGATGAAGACTGTACAGATGACGTATCGAGTGGAGCAGGTGCGACATCGCCAGCAGCATCTCCTCGGCCTGACGATGACAGCACCCAGAGCAGCAGTGGCGGCCATCTATGGCCCTCCATGCAAGATCTCAATACAAGACTTCGGAGGCTAATTACGGCATACCAAAGAAATTACAAACGTGAAGAACTAAAAATGCAACAAAGAGCTAAGGTGCGTAATATCTTATCTTACACTTACATACATCTGAAGAGTTTGTTTGTTGAATGTTGAAGCTAATAAATTAAACTACCGGTTCTAATTAAAAAAAAACTTTTTGCCTTAGATAGATAGTCCATTTATCAAAGAAGGCTATAGGATATAAAACACCACACTGCAAGCAATAGGAGACGAGCAGAGCTGGTGAAACAGCGTGGGAGTAGCTAATAGTAAATAAATTGTAATTTAAGGGGAAATGGCTTACTTACAGTCTACATTGATGATAATCTTAGAGTCTTGTGGATATTGGGGTTTTGCTTGTAATTCTCGTAAATATAATTCTTTCTCTATATTTCTCATCTCATTCACTAGTAACAAATATATTAACAGAACAATAAGTCAGTTAGTCACGCGCCCTGCTAAACTAAATTGTAATATGCTGCAGGCTGCTGGCCCGTTCGGTTATGGAATCCAGTAGCGTATTTGTAACCTTTTACTTATGGTCTTTTAGTTTAGAAATGATGGACTCTTGGATTTTTTTGTCATCATCCTTTATTTTTATGACAGTTTTTACTGTAGTACATAGTTGCAGTAAAAAGCTTGTAATGATATGATTATTAAGTAAGAATTTCGTTCAGAAGATGGAGCGACGGGAACGCATGGATCAACTAGCCAGAGATGAAGTTTCACAATGGCGCTGGACACGTGCTGATGAAGAAGCATTCCGCCGCACAGTTGCTTCATACGGAGTTGAGTTCGACCCAACCACCAAAAGTCTTCGTTGGAGTCGTTTTAGAATGCTTGCACGATTGGACACTAAAACCGATGATGCTTTAACAGATTATTTAAAAGCATTTATGGCTATGTGCAAACGCCAGTGTGGACTCTCTGTGGGAGAAGCTGAGCTGCCAACTAGGGCAGATTTAAAGGCAGAACCTATAGGTGAAGAAAGAGCTATTGCTACTCTTGAGAGGTAGGATCTTTATATATTTTGGATTTCTGTTAATTTGTCTTCACATTTGATTATTACCAAGTTAGCTAATATGCTATTTTGTGATTATTCTATTCTCAGTTATTAATAATTAGTATCGTGAGTGCAAACATAATCTGCGATACATTGCACAGCAAAACTTGCCCAGCCATTGCCTAGTAAAGGGTCATTAGTTTTATTTTAAGATTTTGAAACTTACGATGTTTTACACAGAATTGATCTTCTACGGGTGTTACGTGAAGAAGTAGCTCCACATCCAGCATTAGATACACGGCTGGCTCTATGTGAACGATCTCCGGATACTCCACCATGGTGGCAGCCAGCTCGACACGACAAACTATTGGTATTAGGTGTTTGCAAGTGAGTTTACATTTTTATTTAACTGTTCATAGCATGTAAAATATAACAAATTATTAACTAACAAGTTCAAATAGTAAAAATAATTTCGTACTTTTAAAGATATTGTAAACTTTTTTCATACTTTTAATATAAATTATTTTTAAATTTAAGTTAATGTCTATGCATCCCACAATGTGATGTTGTCATAGTATTATATACACATATCAGGTTGAACTAACAGTAGATTATAAACTTAAAACTACTTTTATAAATTTCACGAATGAGCAAATGAAAATATCATCTTTTTCTATCTAAAACTTAATTCATATTTTTATAGTTCAACAGGAGCATGATTTAAATAATGATAAAACTTACTTTTCTCAGGCATGGTTTGGGTGATACATATAATAAGCTGTTTTGCGACCCTAAAATGCCATTCGCCGATTGCGCCAGCAAATGGTACGCGAGTCATAAAAGCGGGACAAAGAGCGACGCACAGAAGATATCTTCCGATGAAGACGACGCCCCAGGATCAGAAGAGACCGCTGGAGAAACACGGATGTCACTGAGACGAAGTAAGAGAACGTCTAATAACTGCGACCGGATGAACGAAGAAGACACGGACGCTCTCTCTGAACTCGAGACCCTCGCCAAGCTTGGGCGCACCGACGAGACGCTGCGCCCCGACTGGTTCTCCGAGCGCGCGCTGGAGACCCGACTGCATCACATCGCGCATGCCGTGCAGAACCGGGAGTGGCCCGTCGCTGCCAAGCCCGAGCCCGCTGACGCCAAGCACGCCGCTAAACGTCACATCGCCATCGACGTGGAGACCGACCGCGCCAAGTTGCACGCGCTGCTGTCGTCGCCCGCCGCAGCCCACTCGGGCGCGGCGCCTGGTCTGGCGGCGCCTGGCCTAGCAGCTCCCGGCCTGGCCACGGCTGACAGCGCGGCGCCGCCGCCCGCGCACCAGCGCCTACCTGCGCCGGCGGCGGCCGCAGCGCCCGTGGACCTGTCGGCGCCGCTTGACCTCAGTGATGTGCACGACTTCTCCGTTGGCCGCCGCACGCCTCTGTCGGACTCTGCGCCTTCAGCCGGGCCGTCTCGCAGTCGCCTCGATGATACTCTTTCCAGACTCATGAAAAGGAAAAATGTGGTGAGTAGAGTAATTATTCATTTCTAAACAAACTTTTTAAAACAAAACTTACAAAAAATATTTACATTCTTTTTTACGTAAGTTGTAACACAAAATTAAATCACTGTAGTTAACAAATTGATAAGATCTGAAGATCTGGATGACCGAGCTTTGATTGGTGTTCTTATTAGTACATATTTTTTTTAGAAAAAAAAAAAGAAAATATATAGAGGAATAAAACAAAAAAATAAATAAATTAGAAGACGAAAAACTAAAAGAAACATTCTGTCCAAAGTTTGAACTCGAAAATCTTGCATAGCGTCTGCTCTTCCTACTAAGCTATCGTCATGGCGAAATTTAGCTTCATATTAGGATCTTTTTTCAATGAAAACACGGAGAAAACGACATTTAGACATTTTCTGAATAAGAAATCTAGCCAAATCGATTTATCGCGCCCCAAATCTTCCCTAAATACAAAATCTCGAGATATTCGACCCGTTTCCGAGATCGATGAGATAAAGGTTTACAGGATAAGTCGACCTAAATCTTTTAAGTGATGATAGTATCCAGCATTCTTGACCGACTTGACTAAGGAATCCCATATCCCAAACTTAATCGTTCTCAAGATATGGGCCTTTGATATTATACAGTATCGGAACTGAAGAACCGTAAATATTTTATCGTACATCTGCCCATCACATCCCATGTGGGTCAAATCTAGACTTGGCTGGCCACAGAGGTCCACCTTTTCCGATCCCCTTAGTAGAATTACATAGCGTGCTGTTTTGATAATGTACTATGAGTTCGTATGCACTTTAGAACTGCTTTTTGCAATAGTTCACCAGACATTTTTGTTTTAAACATTTTATTTTTTTGTAAAACTATTGTATACAATACATAATCCATACAACATGTATAACAAAGACAAAACCAATTTACTTCAGGACGAAAACGAAATAGATTTCACGGTGTATTTATGTACTAATTTATGTTAAAAGAACTCACAACTATGTTAAATTTTTACGCTTACTATTGTGTCTCTCTGCATCACTAAGTTTCACTTTTATATATTTCTACTAGGCATTAAGTCTGCCATTGTATATTGTGCAAGAAGTGTAAAATAAATAAATACACCACACATATGTACCTAATATTTTGATCGGAACAAAATTGATATGCATAATATAACACTGTTTAATAGAACCAAATATTTTTCAGCCTGCACCAGAGCAAATTGTTGGAAAAGAAAAGAAAAGGAAAAAATTGGATGAAATAGTACTGGGTCTGTCAGCAGCTAAATGTAAGAGTCCCACTGCTTCAACAGACAGTCTGCGAGGACGAGCGACCACTGTGCTGCCCGACGTCACGGTCACACCAGCCGCTCCTCCTACATCATCAGCAGCTTCTTCAGCCCAGAAACCATTTTCGGTTACAGTAACTAACGTCCCATCGCCACAGGCTTCTTCTAAAGAGTTGTCGTCATTTTTACAACAGTCTTTGGAACAGACTAAGGTATCTAAAACTCCAGCTGTACCTCCAATGAAATCTTATTCTCATGAAGCTAAGGTAAATAAATGGTTAGCCGAGCAGGCCAGCGTTGATACGCGTCGACGTGGTATTCCCCCCCGGCTTGCTCCTGAGGAACATGTGCCTGTTGTCCATCGTGTTACAGGCAAACGAATTGTCGGCCCCAAAGCACCTCAACTCAAACATCTAGCGCAATGGATTGCTGAAAACCCTATGTACGACATAGACTCAAAATGGACAGAAGGTATTAAAGAACATATTAAGTTACCTCAAGATGTTCGCAGTCAAAGACACTCACCGATGCAAGCTACTAGTGGTATCAATGAACGCAAAAAAGGACGGCCACCCACACTTGATTCTGCATCCCCTAATGTTTTGTCTTCAAATTCACACATGAATCAAAGTTTGGCTGGTTTGAATCCTGCTATTTTGGCAAGTCTGTCCAGCCTTAGTGCATTTGATCCTAAAACGTTAGCTGCAACACTTTCGAATTTAACAGGATTTGATCCAAAATTATTGAATACATTTGATCCAAAATTACTTTCTAGTTTAGGCAGTTTTGATCCAAAAAATAATCCACTGCTAAATTCTTTCAACAGTATGCCAAATTTATTAGGTAATATAGCCGGTGGAAATATATTTGCTAACTTAGCTGGATTAGGACTTCCTGGTTTTTCATCTCTGGACTTGAATAATTTAACAGGATCTACTGTTTCGAGTGATAGTAAATCAAAATCTCGAAAAACTACAGAAAGTGGAAATCCATCCAGCTCTAAATCAAGTAACTCACAGTTTCCATTTGTTTTCCCAAATCCAAATATGCTGTACCCACAACTGGGGCTGAGCGGCTTAAATCCATTTGGGATGCATTCTGGTATGTCGTCAGCATACGATGCTTTAGGATTATTGAGTAATAATATAGCAGCCAGTTCAGGTGCTTCTACATTACAAGCTCCAAGTCACAGCACTTCACGTAGCGCTAAAACGACTACACCGCGATCATCTACTATAGTGACGAACTCTGCCACCTCTCGTCAGCAAAAAGTTTCTGACCGACAGCAGTCGAGTCAATTACCGCAAATACATTTACCACCGGATCCCTATCTTTTAGAATCTCTATCAAAACAATCCTTAAATTATGAAACAATAATGAGACCAGAAAAGAGGTCCCGGGACAGCGATGGTCACGAAACAATAGCAACAGATCTCTCTAAGACAGATAAGAAAAAGCTACCATATGATGCTCTAAGGTCACAAGTACCTCCAGAGTTTGCAGCTGTCCAGGAAAAGTTACTAAAGGGTGATAAAAAAGATATTGATATAAGTAAAATGCTGTTAGAACAAATGGCATCTGGAGCTCTTAGCGCCAGTCTTGTTAGTTCTGCAGAGTCTAAAAAGGCTAAAGACGATAAAGATGGTTCTGAAAAATTAATTAAAAATTCTTCAGAATATGGTTCTCGAACGTTAATTACTGAAGATGGAGCACCAAGTCAATCCCTGGCTCTCAAGAGGTCTCATGAAGAAGCTATGAATGAACCTGAAAACTTAGCATTATCGTCAACAGAGTTAAATCCTTTAAAAAAATTGAAAGACAATTCTAGCGAAAAAAAAGCTTTAGAGAAGCAACCCGATCACTCCACACACACTGGGGAAATGGATCTTGAAGATTTAATAGCACCTTCAACTGTAATAAAAACCGGAATGAAAACAGATTTTGACATTAATAATCCAAAAATGCCAGTCACAGAAATGATATCACCGAATTTAGGAAAAGATGATAAGTCGCTATCAAAACAGACCACTTCATATTCTGATGAGTCTTCTGTACTCGACCAAGAAAATACTTTGACTGAGGAAGGTACTGCTAAAGTAGAAAGTGAAATAAAAGATAACTGTTCCAATGACGATGATCCTAATATCGGAGATTTGTCCACTTATGAGGGGGGACGTAGATGCAATAAAAAGAAAATCCGTAAGTCGTCGGAAGAGATACCGCCAACATGCCCACGCCGTGAATTGAGATCAAGCTCTGGACGTCAATCGACGGAGTCAATTAACACAAACCATTAATAATGAATCTGTCTACAAAATGCTAAAAGCATTCATCGTGATTTAAGATTTTATAAAAAAGTATAGCTGTGTCGTAATGAATGTTACCGGCTGTGGCTCTTCTTAGTAAATTGTATCTATTTCTGATGAACTTTTCATACAAACTTGCCATTTCTAAAATCACATTGTTTCCATTTTTCGATTTCCATCAATTTCTATACTAGGATCTATACTAGGATATTCTTATTTAAAATCTTTTCTAATAACAGAAGACTGGATATGCCACATTAACGCATCCACAGTTATACTCTTAACATTAACAACAGAAGCATGATGCTACATTTATGTATTTAGAACAAATTAAATGTGACGTTAGAGTTATCCTCATTCATTATGGATAACAAAAGCGTGAAGAATAATTGTGGCTTAGAATTTCATAATGTAGTTTATACGATAAACTATTAATTGACACTTAGAGATCTCTCGCAAATACTGTAGCTCAGTTTCCTTTTGACTACTATTTGTTTTATAAGTAAGTTAGAATTGTCGAGTAAATATTGAATCATTAATTAATGAGTGAAATTGTGTTAAAATTATTCCTGGTTTTTATTATTCTCATTTTTATGTAGTTATTATTGTAAGTTTTAAGTCAAACACTGAATGTGATAAAATTATTTATTACATGTATTCTTATTATTTTACACTGCTTTATTGATGAAATGTATTATATAAATATGTGACAAATCATAAATAAACATAGAACTTAAAAAAATCACTTTTATTTCTATATTATACTTCAAGTTTTTTATTGCATTCCTCAATGTAGACACAGATCTTATAATATTATAGGAGTAACAATCGAGGACCTTGTCGGGCACACTATCGAAATTAAATTTATGATCGTGACAAATTAATGTCAACTCTGTCTGTTAGTAGCATTCTCAAATAAGCAATGTTCATTCAATTTCAATTTAGTATTTTTAGACATGTTTAATGAAACTGTTGAGCCATGGCCAACAAGGTCTCGCATTCCGGGAGTGACACAATGCCTACGTCATTGTGTGCATTACCCAGGCCAGATGTTGTCGAAAATGGTCATTTGAATCTTACAGATAATTAGTTATGCGGCTTCTCTGTAATTGTTGCGCACATTTTTAAATTTGTTGCGCTTATTTCACAAAAACATTTCCTGCTGGGGTAACGTTACCCCTGCCAGACCTTTTTCTTTCTAATGGGAATATTTGAAGAATTATTAGCTATAAAATTAGTTGTCTAGATGAAGTAAATGTTGTGCCTTATTTTGTATTTATTCTTTATCGGTTGCGAAGTTATTCGAGATTTTGCTGGGGTAACGTTATTGATTTTGCTAGACCTTTGAAATGGTGAAGCGGGTTCTTGTCATCTTTGGTTCGTGGCTTCTTAGGAGTTAGTTCAAATTTGTTGGGCAATAAAAAACTAAAATAATAAATACCTTAAAAGTTTTCATTAAATAGAAAAACACTTGTCCCAGCACTCTCAATTAGATCTCCACTTACTTTAAACGTTATTTTAAAGCTTGTGTGTAAGTAAGAATAGAATAGAATAATTTATTTGCAATGAATGTAGGTACATAATATAAGGTGCATTTAGAAGTAAGTAAGTAGGTAAGTATTGAACAAGTCATGATGATATCGAGTTCTTCACAAGCACGGTCTTGATGCGCGCGCCACTGGATTGGATATATGAACTGAATGTTATGTCAATAATTAGTTGTTTAGTTCAGTTATATATCAGTAAAATTTCAGCCCAGTACATTGGATAATTAATGACATAATACGATTAAAGTCATTAGTAAGAGAATGACCGTGGTAAACCCGACCAAGTTTAGTTGCATGGGTGCCCACTGAAAATCAGTGCTGGGTAACTTGTATACCTTTTTTTTTTTTAAGGGGGGAAAATCATCGAATGACTGCTCCCGCCTGGGTGAGGCGGAAGGGAGTGTCAGATTCTTACTGACTAAAAACCACCCCGTTCCTTCTCCTGCACGTCGAGCCGGGACCCGGTTACCCGTTAGGTTCTCCGGGACTCCGAAACCTGTATACCTGGCTTATACTGAGTGGGTGACCCTTTTAGCATAGGCATGTTGTCAGCGTATCTTTTCTAATTCTTCTGTTTAAATTTTTCAACTCTTACATTTTTATTACTTCCACTGTCACATCTTTACTGTCTTTTTTTATTTTTGCCGCATCGTGCCTGGTGCTAAATGTTTTTTCTTTCTTTCTTTCTTAGTTAGTTCCGAAAAAGCGAAATGCAAAACAGAAACTCCGAATTTTGTTACTTTCCTCAGAACGCCACAACTTTCCTCACAACTTCATATCAAGTTGGCCAGTGATGTGCCGAGGTTGATTTCATCATTGAAATATTTATGAATACAGAAAGTTACGAATATCGAAAACAATTTGAGGTCAATAAATTATTAACTTAGTTAATACTTCATTACAAAAGATAGTAGATGAATTTCTACCTTCAGGTAGATGCCGATACGTAATTATAAAGTTGTTACCAATTCTTGTCGATAGTTATTTTCCCATCTCTACAAAACAATTGGTCGTCGATGCCCCTGTGCGCCACCGAGTGCTACGAACATGTCCGTATGGATTGAGGAGCCACTTTCGATTTAAAAAGGAAGCTCGCCCCCTTATTTAGTAGGGAAGTAAATAATTTTGTAGACCGAATTCTGAAATTTGTAGTATAATATGTCTAAAGTTATGTAACTGTGAATGTGGCTCCTCAATCCAAACATCTGAATTGAGGAGCCACCTGAAACACGGAAAGTATTTCATGTATATTTTTGAAAATTTTGTATCATTTAGTAGCAATTGTGTATAGTGTCTACTAAAAATTTGAGCCCAGTATTGTTTATATTCAAGAATATACAATACTTTTAATGTGGCTCCTCGATCTATACACAAGAGCATGAATTGCCATGAAAGTTATTGGTCAATTTATATTCCACTCTAAAGACATTTAGTAGTAAGTGTGTTCGAATTTGTAGTATATGGACAAAGTAGTAGACTGAGCGAATTTAATAAATAAATGCATTTCATTTGGCTCCTCAATCGTGACGTCTGCATAATAAATAATTGACTGTACCTACCTGAGATCAAAACGGAATAAAATACCAGAGACACTAACATTTAGTATAAACGGTCTACTAAATACATATGCACAGATCAACATTGTATATGTTCGGTATCTGAAAAACAAATCACTTCTGAATATTCCTTACGAATTCGCTATTTAGGGTGACCATGTTATATGAATTAAACTAGGATGATTCATTTTTGAAATTTAATTTTTCGACAATATTCGGTACAAAGATT